CTACTACTAAGGCCAGGCCAGGGGCCCCTAGTAGCTTCTTGCTCCTAGTAGTAAGGCCAGGAGCCCCTAGTAGCGTCCTTGCTCCTAGCAGTAAGGCCAGGAGCTCCTAGTAGCGTCCTTGCTCCTAGTAGTAAGGCCAGGAGCCCCTAGTAGCGTTCTTGCTCCTAGCAGTAAGGCCAGGAGCTCCTAGTAGCGTCCTTGCTCCTAGTAGTAAGGCCAGGAGCCCCTATAGTAAGGTGAGGAGCTGCTAGTAGCGTCCTTGCTCCTAGTAGTAAGGCCAGGAGCCCCTAGTAGCTTCTTGCTCCTAGTAGTATGGCCAGGAGCCCCTAGTGGCTTCTTGCTCCTAGTAGTAAGGCCAGGAGAGGCTAGTAGCTTCTTGCTCCTAGTAGTAAGGCCAGGAGCCCCTAGTAGCGTCCTTGCTCCTAGCAGTAAGGCCAGGTAGCGTCCTTGCTCCTAGTAGTAAGGCCAGGAGCGCCTAGTAGCGTCCTTGCTCCTAGCAGTAGCGTCCTTGCTCCTAGTAGTAAGGCCAGGAGCCCCTAGTAGCGTCCTTGCTCCTAGTAGTAAGGCCAGGAGCCCCTAGTAGCGTTTTGCTCCTTAAGGCCAGGAGCCCGTCCTTGCTCCTAATAGTAAGGCCAGGAGCCCCTAGTAGCGTCCTTGCTCCTAGTAGTAAGGCCAGGAGCCCCCAGTAGCTTCTTGCTCCTAGTAGTAAGGCCAGCACCCCTAGTAGCTTCTTGCTCATAGTAGTAAGGGCAGGAGCCCCTAGTAGCGTCCTTGCTCCTAGTAGTAAGGCCAGGAGCCCCTAGTAGCGTCCTTGCTCCTAGTAGTAAGGCCAGGCGCCCCTAGTAGCGTCCTTGCTCTCAGTAGAAAGGCCAGGAGCCCCTAGTAGCTTCTTGCTCCTAGCAGTAAGGCCAGGAGCCCTAGCGTCCTTGCTCCTAGTAGTAAGGCCAGGCGCCCCTAGTAGCGTCCTTGCTCTCAGTGGTAAGGCCAGGAGTGCCTAGTAGCGTCTTTGCTCCTAGTAGTAAGGGCAGGAGCCCCTGAGCCCCTAGTAGAGTTCTTGCTCCTAGTAGTAAGGCCAGGACCCTAGTAGCGTCCTTGCTCCTAGTAGTAAGGCCAGGAGCCCCTAGTAGCGTCCTTGCTCCTAGTGGTAAGGCCAGGCGCCCCTGGTAGCGTCCTTGCTCTCAGCAGTAAGGCCAGGAGCCCCTAGTAGCTTCTTGCTCCTAGTAGTAAGGCCAGGAGCCCCTAGTAGCGTCCTTGCTCCTAGTGGTAAGGCCAGGCGCCCCTGGTAGCGTCCTTGCTCTCAGCAGTAAGGCCAGGAGCCTCTAGTAGCGTCTTTGCTCCTAGTAGTAAGG